TTCAACCCAAACTTCAAAACCAGCTGCCTGGGAGGGACAGCAGCATTTCTATTAATGAAGCACAGAGGGAGTCAACTGACTTCATGGCTCGTTACCTTCTACCTTAGGAGTAGGCAAACCCTGGCATGTGTGCCATGCAAAGGCATTCTGCTTAGTATTTGTGCCTCACAGAAAGGGCCAGGGCTGCACTGCCACAAAGATCAGGCCCTTGTGGCTGCCCCTGGCATGCCAACATCTTACAAGTTAAGGCTGAGGGTATTCTTGGCACTCTGCCCAACAAGGCTGCCAACCTGTTCTACCCGATTCCTGCTAATCTCTCCATGTTCCACGGGTGTTAATGCCCCTCCCCTTCTTCATGGTCTTGATGTTCCACTATTCAAACTATTCTATCTTCTTCAATTTTGTTGTCTATTAGCCATTTCTAGTAATGTGCCTCATATTTCACAGCTCTGGAGACTGTTTTTAGATCTAGCTAAAACCCTAACTGGGGTACAGTACTATTAGCTCAGGTGTGGAAATGACTGACAGTATTAAGACACTGTCAAGACACTCATGAAAGCTAGATTTTGTTTTATAAATTGGAATAAGAGACATATATTTAACTATAATGGCTATAGGACTAACGAAACAAAAATACTTTGACTGTTTGCCTAGTTAGTTGTGTTTATTGAACTTAATTGCACATTCCAATAAAGTTATATCTGTTTTTGTTTTCAACTTAAACTAAATCATATAATGCTAGACCTCTAGTGTATCAATAAACCTTCTAGCTTTTCTTTTAGGTGGAGAAAAAGACATAGTTATGTGCAATGATGCACTACACCATCCACCTCCCCTTTTCAAAATCTTAGCTCTACACATGTATGTACGCATGTATACGTCAGCCTCACTTAATCTACAAGACCTAACATGCTATGCTACTTCTGTAATGTGAATGAAAACATATTTGCAACGCTGCCACAATTAACAGGACAGCAGTTACTCTTCAGCAGAAATGTCCAACCAGAAAGCAGCATTTAAGTCAGGATTGTTTATAAGACCTTACCATTCGTGTACATTCCTCCATGCTACACACAAAACTGATTTACTTACTGCAGGGGCGCCTCCAATTGGATTGCAAAGTTGTTAATAAAGAATGCAATTTAACCATTTGCACTGCTGTCAGTTCTAAAAGAACTGCATATGCATGAAAGCCATGCAAGAAAAGGTATGACTGAAGTACAAATTAAAGCTGCCCAATGTCATAAGTAAAATAAAACAGCACACAGACAACTGGAGAAAAGTCATTCATATTTCTAAAGCTGGATTTGTGTGTAAATTGTATGAACTGGATAAACCAAAATGCATACACTCTCATACAACAGCAACAAAACAGTCATGATATAGATGTTTCCACATGTAACCACACTTTTTCACTTGCTCAAAACAATTCTTTGCCAAGATTTTTTGCAAAATAAAAATATTACAGAAATAGTACTATTCTGCCAGATAAGGCAGTGCCCCTTGAACAATTTATTTTCTACATTTATTTAAAAGTGCTTTTCTACATTCAGCTTTTCTACACTCTATTCATTTGGTGCGACTAGCTAGTCAGAATTTAAGCAAAGTAGGCCTAGATTTGAACAGATTCACTTTATGTAGCATAACACTAAATAGGCTATATGTTAATACTAAATAACTATGTTATTACATAGTTCTGAAAAGAAAAAATATTTCTTCTGCTTCAGCTTTCTGCTTGATTTATACGGACCACAACCTGTTAAAAACTTAGTATAAGCTACTGAACAAAGGAGGCAGGGGTGCATGTTACCTAAACTAAACACTGCTTTTTGGAAAGGCAAAATTGAAAATTTTATCTATACTTAGTATTAAATCAGTTATAACCATGATTCCCTGCCTCTTCCCCCCTCAGTTTTCCTTCTTCGTAAAGACTGAAGTTATATGTGGACTGCTTTTAGTTAGATTTCATCATACTGTATTAACATTGTACAGTGCTCTCAAGCATACCTAAGGAGCTTCAATAAACCATAATAATTAAAAAAAATGTAATGTGTGTAGTCCATAGTGTAATTTTACTAAAAGAAGAGTGAATTTTCCTTCTGACATTTCACGTGTTAAGCATGCCAAATACCTTAATACAATCCATAAACAGATTATTTGTTGCACTTTTTATGGCTACTATAACCTTGGAGAAAACTTTTAAACATACAAAATGATTCAAATGACAACTTTTTTATAACAAATTAGAAAGTCTTCCCTGGAAGCTACTAGATATTTGTCTTTAATGTGCTTGGAATAAAAAATATTAAACACATACAAACTTATTAATATATATTAAGGCTCTAACTATAAACAGAAAATACCGTATTGGGCTGAGCATCTGTCGGCCTACTTGATTTTTGCATGTAACGTAACACTGTGGTGGGACAAACTTTGAGGAGTGACTGGGATTTTAATTTTTTTAAAGTTACAGGCTTTCTGTGTTAATTGGTGAAATTGCTTCAGACAGCTTTGTCAGAAGACATGCTTTTTAAAGACTTTTTTTTTTTAAACACATACCTTCCAAGCCTATTTGTGGCAAAATTTTAGAAAACGTGCTGCTCAATTAAGAATCTCTCTCACAAAAATATGGTGAACCAGGGTATTTCTGAATACAGGCCAACTAATCCTCTAACAGTCCCAAGCATGCTTTCAGTGCATTTATAAACTACTGCTATGCAGTACGTTACACACCTACCCATTACCACACATTTTGATTAAATGCTGGAAATTGTCACAAATTTCTAACAATTTATTTACAAACGTATGTGCATTTGTAAGTCAAACACCCAACTGAAAAAAAAAAAGCAAGCAAAAGTAATACAAAATATTTTCCTAGGGAAATGACTGAAAAGAGAGGTAAGGTCTATTGCACAACCTAAAAGGTCATTGCTTAGAGAGTCCTGAGCTAATGTGCTATCACTGAACAATTCAGGCACTTTTTTTTTCTTTTCTTTCTTTCCTTTTTTTTTTTTTTTTTTTTTTTTTTTTTTTTTTTTTTTTTTTTTTTTTATTACACAAGCAATAAACTTTTCAACATATAAACCTCTGGGTATAACAACTCAATTTCTATTCATAAAATCATGCTTAGAGAAAAGTATTCAATAAATATGACTCCCTTCAGTGATTTCTGTTCCGAAAAACTTGCTTGCAAAAAGGAACTGTAAGTACCATACTACAACTTTTCAACTGAATACTGTACTGAAATTTAAAAGCAATTATTAAAACTGTAAAAAAGTTCTGCAGCATTCCACTACTAAAAAATAAGGTCAATATTTCTGAGAAAGCTACACTGTTAGTTCCATTTATCCTATTTTAATTCCTGGCAAAGTTGTCAAAAACAAACAGATGTTCCCTTGTGAGTTATTATCGTTATGTCTCAACGTCAGCATCAAAGTTCAGGTTTCTCTGACAATGTTTGACGGTCCCTAGTAAGAGAAAAAGTTGTTACTTCTAAGTCATGACTATGAAAAAAATGAAACAGATCACATTCAGGCTTTTATTATTTTATATTTCTCTATATAGTATTTACCAAAAACATAAGGTCTCTTCACTACAGCAACCAGGCTGCTGATAAAATAAAGAATAAGTAATTAGCCTTGGAAAAGTTTTTTCTATTTCAAGACTATATATTTTAAGACAGATGGATCCAAAGAAGTCTCTAATTGATATAATCTACCATCAGGGTAAAGAGTCTACAAATATGAATTATGCCTGTGATGGTAAATTTTGAAAACAAATTTTCATAGCTGAAGTAAATCAAAATGTAAGTCCATATTCCAATTAAAGTTGGGAAAATTAAAAGAAGCTCAGTACCTTGGTAAGGCACCCCAGCACCTTCGTAAGGCACCCCAGCCTGAATGGCCAAGTTTGAAAATCTTGGCTACAGTCAACAGTAAATACACTAAACTATTACTAGTCCCTAGAAAACACTATGTTACAGACATTTAATTCTGATCTTTTCCTCAGTGGGGGCCAGGTTGTAATCCTGCATTCACATTTGTGAGCCATTACTGAGTCCCATTTATATCCACTGGGCTGCTTGCATGTGTACCTAAACACCAAACACAGACAGGGAGTTTGCAGTCCAGCTGTCAAACATGAGGTTCATGGAAGAATTGCAGTTTTAATACACTGTAACTAGACAACCGGACTCTAAAACAGAATATTGTTGCAAACAGTGCCAATCTGGATAATGTACTCAATGTAGCGTTTTGACCATCTTACTTTTTGAATACACTGATTTGCATTTAAGATTGGTTTGACCTTAAGGAGTTTGGCTATCCTTCATATTTACATCACAATGCAGTTGTTTATAAAGGCTTAATAAAGTATTAGAAATGGTTACAGGCATAAGGGTACAATGGTTTATAAGTCACCAAGAAGCAGCTTCTTGACTTTTTCCTTTACGACCGGTCATTAAAAGCTTTGTTAATAATCAACTGATCCAAAAATTTGACTGGGAATTTGCTTCAGGTGAAAGTTAATGGAAACTGGATAATGTGTCATATTTTTAAAACTGTGTTTACTTTGAACCTTATGGTATAACAAAAGTGTTAATATGCATTCATTTAAAAATAGATTCAGCTTTCAGGAGTAAATGCAAGCTTACAAATGTAAAATACTTAACAATTTTATCTACTATGTAGGTAGAAGTCTGAAGAAAAAAAATCCATCATTGAAAGTACTACACAACTAGCCATTTTCAGGAAAAAAAAGGTAATATACATTTTAATGAAGGATTTCTTCTTGCTTTAACTAGATTATGTTAAACAAGTTCTATTACTTATCAAATTAATATAATAAAATCTTATACTGATAAATAATTTATATTCTTAATAGTCCAGATTTTATTAACATTATTTGAACTAATTTAAAAGGAAGGACTTCTATCATACAATTATAAAGAACAGGAAATTTAGAAAAACAAGTTACTGTCATGCATTTGTGATGACACAAGCATACATTTGTATTATGGTACTAGTTTATAATTTTCAAAATACAAAATCATTCTGACTTTATATTTCAACAATTTATTTTCCATCTAACCACTGCATGTATCCTTCAGAGACCAAGCAATACTGATTCTTAGAGGATATAGAGCTTAGAGGATGTAGAGCTGGGTGGGGAAGGGGGAAGGAAAAAAAAGCAGCTTTTTTTTTTTTTTTTACTGGTACACTATAGCCGCATTAGGGCTGTTGCACAATCCTAAGTAAATTAACTAGGCCAGGAAAACTTGAGTATAAATTAACACTTAGAAGAGAATGGTTAGGACCTTTCGTTGTTGGTGAAAAAAGTACTTACTACCTTCTCAGCTGTACAGCATGCTTAGAATTTACTGCAATACACAAGAGTTGTTTGGCACCCTTTACACTTTTTATTTGTAATATAAATGGGACAGCACAGTTATCTAACATACCCAAATACCTTGAACATAAAATGACATCTCAATTAGATTACACACGGAAAAATTTTAGCCATATCCCAGTTCAAGGATTAAGAGCAGAAAACCAGAAATGTAAGCATATTTTATATATATGGATTGGATTTTATTTTGGAGAAGAATTATTAATTAAAATTTATAAATGCGCTTACATTGCAGACAAAATGTTTTGTAAACCTTTTTTTTTAAATTACAGAGGAATTTATACAGACACCGATATAGTAGTCAGGCAGAAGGCAGGGCAGGGTGGCATCTTAGAAGCTAGCTGGATCAGAGACTAACTGGTTATTGTTTAAGGTGCCACCTTATTCCACCTTCTGCAAGACTTCAGACTAATACAAGTAACCACCACCCTGCTCATGGAAGATACAGTGGTGAGAGACTATTCTAGATAATCCAAAACCTTACCTCTTCAGATTATACAACTCAAGCATGGGTTGGACTGCACACATGCAACTGCAACTTAGTACTAAGAACACTCAGGTGGAGGGGAAAATGGGAGGAACCCAGGTTTTCAGTGCCTGCTCTCAGGACTGTTTCCTTTTTATCTAGTGAATGTTTGCCATAAAACACTAACCAGGTCTTGCTTTCAGCTGAGTACCCTACCTGCAAGGCTCCCTCTCTCTTCCTGACCCCACTCATTTTGAGCTCTTCCTGTCCAGTGGCCCAGCTTAAACATAAGGCACCACACCAGGTGCCTCTGTGACAGTCCAGCATAGCATGCAGCACCAAGGGACCTAGCAGCCAGGCCCCCAGCCTGTGGCACATGGTGCCTTGCTGACTGGATCCCTGCTGCTTGCCTGCATGGTCCTGCCACCTGCATTTTCACCTAATACTCAATTCTAAAGATACGGCTTTGTTTTCCCAGGTTGAATGGAGGAAAAAATCCTGGACTTGAATAATTACAGTATTTTAGGAAATAGGAACATATACAGGACTTGAAGGGAACTCCTGGGTCAAATCTAGCCAGCTGGTATTACAGGTAACCACATACAGCCTAGATTTTGCTACAGTAAACTCCAAACTGAGGATTTAGAATGCTGTAATTTTAAGGCAGTCTGTTTATTATGGTTCCTCTCAATGGACATGACTCCCAATATGGTTCAAGTACAGCTACAGCATGAGTCTATAATAGTATTGTCCCGTACACACTATGAACAAGTTATTATCAAATGGATGGTCCTACATCAGGCAATGCCTGCCAGGTGGACTAGCTTTTAGTCACTTTAGTTCAGGCATTTGCATCCTAACCACCCTTACTACTGCTATAGTTTCATGCAACATTGTACAGCTCTAACATTTACTAAATATTAAAAAAATAGAAGTTTATAACTTATGATCAGTCAACTGCGACTCAAATATTTACCACATCCAACTTCTTGGCTTATAAAGATAGAGCATATTTCTCCTTTTAGCATGCGACTTCCCTGTAACAGGCGGGGGCATCTAAAACACGTACCCATAAAGGTGTGTTGTTCTGCATGCTGCTTCTCAAAAGCACACTACAGCATATATAAATTTAATGGTTTTTAAAATACTCTTAACTTGCATGTACAGAGTAGATGGTAAGGCTAGTTACACTTTTTCAGAGAACATGCCAAACAAAATCCTTCTGATAACAGGAAAGCTGTTATCCAGCTGTCTTACATTTTCAAGCAAGGACTTACAGATGGGAAACCAGCTCCACTGAGATGCAAGGTAACTACCAAAACTGGTAGCCACAGTGAAATCTCAAAAGCCACACCTGGCCTTCAGTTCCTTAAGAATCTCCATTTACCTAGATCACTGCCACAGGCGGCGAATAGGGTACAAAATCAAGTTCACCTGTAAACACAAATATTCAGTACTCCACAGAATTCTATACAAGCTATTCCAGATGAATGCAGAACTGGAGAGCACCATTTGGATATTCACATTGTAGGAAGTTGTTTAGTGAAGATGAATCTTAACCAACTCACCTTTTCTTTTCTCAAAAATCCTTCTCTGAATTTGTTAGTGGTAAATCCCCTTACACCAGCAGAACGCAGCCGCTGGTACTTAGCTTGAATATATAAACCCTTCTGTACTAAGCCTGATTTATAATGGGGTTGCAACCGACCATCTGTAAAGTTAGTCTGTAGAGAAGGAAAAAGAAGTGAGAAAATGGTAACATTTCAGAACTCCAGTCAAAATGGTATTGTTGCTGCATTCAGCTACTTCAAAGTTAAATTTACATAAATATACAGAAACATGATAGCTTACATGACTTAAAATACTTCAGGTGTTTGTTTATAAATCCACATCCTTCTTCCTTCCTTCCCTTCAATTTAGTATCTCACAGACTACTACCCAGTGTTCATTTCACAAAATGCAATGTTGTGTGTGGGGGCAACCATATGAAGTAATTCAATTATGTTTCTTGGGGTATAGGTTTTGGTAGCAAAATTGCAAGTGCCAAGAGGTTGTTTTAACATAAGCAATAAGCGAGATGGAAGGGAAGATAAAAGTCTCTTCTGGAGCTATGTGACAAGTGCTGTAAACCTCATGTTAAAGATGACAAAGTTTAAGGCTTTAAGAGGATTTAACTCTTAAAGGCAAAATTTCCACCAACTTCAAAAAGGTTTGGGTGGCAGCCAAAGATCTGACTCAAGTACATACACTGGAGCATAAAAAACAAAATAGTGGGCACATCTACATGTGCAATTAATGCAGCTGAATACACTCCAGAATAATTCATGCTAGAATGCATCGTTCCTGGGTGCAGTGTTTGCACATGCACCTGGGACCAACACATGGAGCCGAGGTGGAACAGCCCTGGCTGGCAGGGGGCTCCAGAGGTCAGCCTGGGGCTGCTCCAACCCAGCTTTACATGTTGTGGAGGGGTGGCTGCAGCATGAGGGTGCTCCAGGGCAGAGCTATAGGCAGGGTGCCCCAAACTGAAGCACCCTCATGCCCTGGGCTGCTGCATCAGCATCTACAGGAACTGCTGCAGAATAAATAACTCTGCCATAGGACAGCACTTGCGTCTGGCAGTACTAGCCTAGGGCAGAGTCAATTTGTTTACTCTGTCCTAATACCACCACACGCTTAGGTGACATTGTACTGAAGAGTTAATTAGTCAATTCCATAGTAAATGAACAGAGTTGACGAGCCCGTTATTGCTTGGAATCAATTTAATCCTTAACCCACAGGAAGAGCACCAGATTGGGCCACACAAATTCATTTTAGTTGAGAAAGAGGATAAAATACCACAAGGAAGTGGCAGTTAAAAGCTTCAATACTAAAAAAAGTAGACACAACAGATATAGGAGAAGCATCAGTTCAATGTAATTAAAGGTTTACGTGAACAGGCAACCCAGACCACATAGTGAGGGGGTAGAGTGGAAAAACCTTAATTTTAGAGACAATTCCAAATGTGTGTATTATACTCTCTCAGATAGTTTTAGGTTGGAAATTTTCAACTTCAGTCCAGCCAGAAAGTGATTTTTTTAATAATCATTTTAATTCAATTTTTTCACGTTTCTTTTCAATAGAAGTGGAATGAAAAAGGAACAGGAACATTTTTTCCCATTTACAATCACTGTAACCTTTCCTGAACAGCTTTAAGACCTACAAGAAAGCAGACATTGCTTTCAGTATGAAGTGTGAGCGAGCTCTGGTAAAATCTGATTCAATCTGATAAGAGAGTCGGAGAGAGAAACACACTCCATACACAGTAAAATTTGCACCACGCATACTGTGTACAGCTAAGAAAGGCCTGCACAAAATGGGAGCTCCTTTATACAAACTCCTAAGGGACTTCTACTGTAGAAAATGTTATTTGAAAAAGAAATGCATCTTGTCCATATACAATGCAACTAAAAAAAGCTGAACCTGTTACTAACCAGAATGAATCCTTCAAAAGCTAGAGACAGGACAATCTTGGAAGTCTGCCAAACGTGAAACTCTGCATCACAGAACATCAGATTAAGTCCAAGTTTGGGTATTTTTAAAGTACAATAAAATTATACCTTTCATGCAAAAATATCCCTACACAACAGGAGAAACTGAAACTTTGTTTTGAAATTCTAGATGAAGTCTCTGACCATGTCAGCGTAAATATGCCAAGATTCACATTTATCTGTGTGGACGTGCTCCCTCCACCCCAGCTGCCAGATACTTTTCTCTGAGCAGTGCCTACTGATCTGAGAAACTTTCATGAAGAGGTATCTGCCTCCTATTGTAAAAGTAAGCCCTTCGGCTTTCTCACAGCCATCTCACAGCTGCATTTCCAGCTTGGAAAAATGCTACACTCCTCCTTTTTACACAACTGCTGTCAAGGTGGATAGGAAGGAGTATCCAATACTCTCTTTGGTCTTTGGAAAATGAGGACATGAAAAAGAATGCCAGAATAAAAAGGGAAAGTAACAGGAGCTGGATTGTGCTCAGAGGTTTTAAAATTTGAGCTTAAGCATCATGTAAAAATAAAGGAGGTGACAGATAAGTTATTCAGAATCTTAATGTTTGCCATCAAGGTACTCTAATGACAGACAAAATTATTTCACTGCTCCAAGCTATTTGAAAACCTTAAGATGCTTCCATTTGAAACATGAAAATGGTTTATGAATAAGGTTCTTAATCTCATTAATATATATGTATTTCACAAACAATGCTTGTATTGCTAGCGTCTATGATCCCATTTCAAAAGTAGAAGTATATTAAAATTAATGTATTTATGAGAAAATAACATATTCCAAGTAATATGCACATCTAATATATGCCAGCATAACTAGGGGCAGAACGTGAATAGCAAATGAAGTTATCTGAACTATAAAATAACTTCATATCTATCTATATTCTATATATACACAGGTGGATTTAGTCATCTCACACTTCAGCCACACACTATGAAACAGTTTAGGTATCCCTGTAGTAAATTCTTGCTCTGGAACAACTACTACATTCACAAATAGCTTAACACAAACAAAGAAATTTTAAAAGTGTAGTAGAGGCAACACTACTACTGCTTCATAACTCAAAAGAACTCATACACAAAGGAAGAGATTTTTCCCAGGATTTTGGGCTGCTACGAGCATAGTCACTTTAGAAGATAGTCAAAACACCTACTAATACATATATTGAATGCATTCAACAAACTTGAACAACACTGCTAGAAATTATATGCAATAAAGAAAAAATTCAATGCAAAACCCCCCTAAAATTA